CAGCGCCCGCTGCGTGCGCCCCCGCGCCTCTGCGCCATGGCCGGCCTCAACTCCCTGGAGGCGGTGAAACGCAAGATCCAGGCGCTGCAGCAGCAGGCGGACGAGGCGGAGGACCGCGCTCAGGGCCTGCAGCGGGAGCTGGACGGCGAGCGCGAGCGGCGCGAGAAAGTGAGAGCCGCGCCCGGGACCCCCGCCCTGGTCCCGCGAGCCCCCGGGCCGGCGCGCCCTCCGGGCCCCCACGCCCCCGCCCCGCGCACTCCCTAGTTCGGCCCCGCGCGCCCTCCTTTCTTTCCTTCTCTCTGCGCGTTTCGCTTCCCGCGCTCCCGCCCGCCGCCGCCGTGTCCACCCCCCATTATCCCACCTTGGCGCCCGTGGCCCCCGCCGCCCCCGATCGCCGATCCGCTCCCCCCCTCCCGCTCCCGCTCCGGGCGGGTTGCTGAGACCCCTTCCTCCACAGCCCTCCTCCTTCCCGGGTCTGGGACGGGGGAGGGGGCACCGCAGCAGGGTCGGGCAGGGCCAGCCGAGCGGGAAATGGGGGGATGGGGCGGAGGGGTTGGCGATTCCGGAGCGGGTAAGGGGTAGGGGGCACCGCACAGCCAGCCGACTCGAGGCTGGCGCCGGGGTCCGGAGCCGGGAGGACCTGCAGCTGCACCTAGGAGCCGGGAGTGAGAGTGGAAACGAGCTTCCATTGTCTGGGGTTGAACTGGCCAACTTGACTGGGTGCGGGGGAGGGGGGTTGCGTCGCACTTTCTCGCCTCTTCTGCGGCTTCCCGGCTCCCGCTAAACTTTCCCAGCTGTTCCCAGGGGCGCGGCGGCGACGTGTCTGCTCCCTGCAAGGGGCGGAAGTCCAGCCCCGAGCCACCGGCCTTAAGCTTCCCAGCTGGTCCCTACTGGAACCAGGGCCACGAAAGGGACTCCGCCTTCCTTCAGTCCATCTATCCTGGGAAGTACATCCATATGTCATAGATGGAATATTGGCGCCGGGCCCTCGATCCCCCTGGGTCGTTGTGTGCCTCCTCTGCACGTTGCGGGGCCTGTGGCAGATAATGGGGCTGAATGAGGAGGGGGCCTCACTGCCCTCTCTCCATTCCCTGGCTGTCCGTGGGGATGGCACAGATGGTGGCAACCTCCGGAGCTGGGGAGAGATCTGAACTGGCCCTTAACCCCTAGGAGGAGTCTCCCCATCTGTAAAGTAGGGGTAATAATAATGACCACTCTAGGATAGCTAGGAGGGTCCCAGGAGTAAAACCTCCCGTCATGGCATCTGGGAAATAAGTGTTCAGTTTTGTTTTTCTCCCCTCCCTCTATCCGCATAAGCGCTCACAGTGTGATGGGAGTAAGAGGGACAAACACAGAAGGCTGACTTGCTTGCATCCCAGGGATCCCTGTTCTGGGAGCAGGGCAGCAGCCATCCAGTGGGGCTTCAGAGTGGAGGTTGAGCAGAGTCTTATAGAATAAATTAGAATTTCCTAGGACAGGACACTTGGTTGTGCAAAGACTCAAAGGCAAGAAAGTTGGGGGAGAGGGTGGAAGCCTAGGGATCCTGAAAGCTGGGTGGGGACCCCAGAAATGAAGACGATGCCCAGCCAAGTGGAATGGCCCCAGACTGCTTTGGGGTTGGCCCAAGTCACAGCCTTGAATTCTTTAAGGGCTGCTCTGGCCCCAGTGTAAGCCTCCAACAGAAGCTGGTTTGGCCTCTTGCGCACACGTAACCCTCCCTCTGATCTCATCCCAAGTTATCTCGCTGGAGGACAATTACTTCTGCTTAAAAATGGCCCTCAGCCGTGAGCCAAGACAGGAGTGGGGCAATCCAGTTGGGAGGATAGATGTTTTTGGAAAGTTGCAGACTTCTTAAAAAGTTCACTTTTCAAAGTATGCTTCTCTTGGTTAGGAGTGGGAAAGCCTGAAAAAGTTTCCTGGGCAAAGGAATGGAGCCCAGGGGTGGGGCGGGGGGAGGGAAAAAAACCCTTTCTCAGTCCCTTGTAGAGAAAGCCAAGAGCGGCGTGTGGCAGACTTCTGGGGCTGCCTCTGACAGCTGGTTTCATTTAGATTTTTGTGTGATTAACCGACATCTTCCTGTTCCTTTGCCACATGTATCTAGCAAGCCTCTTTTACCTTATAAGGGAAATCCTTTGTAGAGTGTAGAAGCTTTGATTGCAGGAAGGGGTGGAGCCCAGGATGACTAGCAGTGACTAGCAGCTTTTCAAAAGTACATATATATATGTCATAGATGAATACATCTCAGAGCTCTTTCAATTCAAGATAGCTGAAAATGTGCCCAAAGAGTGGTTGTCAGGATTCAGAATCCCTCACATAGGAGCCGCTCACTTTTTTTTTTGTGAAAAATATGTCTCCTAAATCAAGGACCTTCTATATGATCTTAAAAATCAGCTCCTTGACTGCTGCTGGCAGGTATGGGGTTTCTTGTTGGAGTGGTGAAAATATTCTGGAATTAGTGGTGTTTATTGCATAATTTTGTGACTGTACTTAAAAGACATTGAGGGGAATTCAGTGCCTGCCCCATTTGCTGAAGGAGTTAAGATTCATATAATCTAAAAAGAATAAAAGGCACTCACTCATTGGAAGGAGTGGGTGACATTTCTTAAAAGAGTTCTTCAGTGGTTTTTAATGGATTTTTTCAAACTGGTGTTTCAGAGGAGGCTGCCATTAGAAACACCTGTGGGAGCTTTTCCATCTGCTGCTAGGACTCTGGAGCTGAGAGAAGTTTGCCTGATTCTGTTTTTCAGCATTCAGCAACTCTGGCCTCATTCTGTTATTCCTTTTTTTTTTTTTTTTTTCCTGTTTAAGGGAGCAGTTTCCCACTCATTTTTACAGCCTGCCCCCATTCGGAGATTATTTTTTTTGATATGAAGAAGCCAGTGTGGCTTTACCTGGGCCCTCACTTCTCTCCTTGGTTCACCCACTCTCAATATCCCTTCCTGAGTGTGCCTGGCCTCCAAGCCCTGCAGGACTCAGGGAGCAGGTTCAGCAAGGGAAGAGCCCTGGGCTGGGGCACAAGAGGCCATCCCTTACCAACTCTGTGACACCGAACAGAACTACTTTGCCTCGCTGGGCCTCTCAGTTTTCCCATCTGTAAAACGGGTGGGATACTTGAGGATTAAATGAGGTGAAGTCATGGCCATAAGAGCTGCCCTTTAGTGGGACTTCCCCATGCCAAGTGCAATGCCTCAGCCTTCAATGACAGTCCTCACAGCAGTGTGGGTGTCACGTAACCAGGTGATGGAATACAGAGGCTTAGAGTGGTGAAGCAACAGCCCAACGCCACGTGGCTACAAACTGACAAAGCAACCCAGCAATTTTTTTTTTTAAGATTTTTATTAGGGAATTGGGGGGAGGGGAACAGACAAATTGTTGTCGTTTTGTTCTTCAGTCTAGTTGTGGAGGACGTTGCTTTACTGGCCCAAGTTGGCACCATCATTGTGCTCTTCCCCGGGCGAGGCAGATCAGTCGCCGGCTTCAGGATGGCTGCTCACTGCGGCTGCTGGCCACTCACGCTGGCTGCTGGCTACACACGGTAGCCCATGGCAACTCATTGCAGCAGGGGCTGCAGCCTACGCCGTCGCTGGCTACTCACGGCATCCCAGCTCCAGGTTGAGCTGTTGTTCAGCATCTTAGCTGTAGAGGGCAGTGTCACTGGCCCTCATATGTGGGATCCGAACCGGGGCCCTCTGGCATCCCAAGCCAGCTCTTAACCAATGTGCCACTCGGCCAGCCCAAGCCAGCAATTTTTGATCCTGGAATTTTTGTTTTTATGCACATCCCACCACATTATCTTCCTCATGGGGAAAAACCAGTAACCTTGGAAAGCCAGTAACGTTATTCAGACATCTCCTCCACACCTGTAACCAAGATTTCTTATATCTTTCTGTCTCATCATCTCTTGGCCAAACTTGGTTAAATATGGTTTTCCATCTGGGCTGCTTTCTTCCCCCAGTGTACGGCCAGCATTTAACTGAGTGCTCCATATTCTTGGCATTTATCTTGCCAGTGAAGTGACTGGGAGGAGGCATTGTGTGACAGGGTGAGCCGGGTTACTGGTGGCCATGTTCTCCAGGAACCCATGCAAGGAGAGGTCAGCACCGTCCTCTCACAGCATATAGTGTACTTTCTCTCCTCCATGTTGACTTGACCTCCCATCCTGTACTAGGACACACCTTCATCATTGAGTGGCAGGTGATCACTGACGTTTTCAGGGAAGATCAGACAGAAATTCACATTATCTAAACAAGAGGGTGAATTTCTTACTGCCTGGATTCCTGGGTGGGCTCTGGCTGGCCCGTTACCCTCTAAATTGATTGCACCTCTGACCTCCTCAGGCTGAAGGAGATGTGGCGGCTCTCAATCGACGCATCCAGCTTGTTGAGGAGGAGTTGGACAGGGCTCAGGAACGACTGGCCACAGCCCTGCAGAAGCTGGAGGAAGCAGAAAAGGCCGCTGATGAGAGCGAGAGGTAAGGATGCTTTGAACCTGGTGGTGTTGGTGATGGCTTCTGGGAAATGGGGGTCTAACTGGATGGCTGACCTTGCATAGCTGGGGTGAGAGTGAGTGAAATCACATGGCGTGAACGTGTGCACATACATACAATGTGTGACGGACCCTTATAAACCATCCCGCTGTGTGTAGAGAGGTGTTTGTCGTGGTGGTGGTGACAGAGAAAAACTATCAGACAGAGGAAGGCAGAAAATATGGGCAGATAGAACTGCAAGTGTGACTGTCACCGGTGATCAGTTGGCAGAGCCTGAAAACCACTGTGCGCCTCATTCATGTTTTCAAGACATCAATTTCCAGGGTGATGTCCGGGGGCAGATGAAAACCTGGAATGGGCCATCTGCATAGATGATTGTTAACAGTGATGTTGGGCAGGCTTTGGGCTACTGGACGGTGACAACAGTATGTCAGGGGCATGTGCAAACTGGCCCCATTGATGTACTTGCAACTGACGGTGCTCCTTTCCTCTGTGGCATGAATTCTGCGTTTGGGCCTCCAGCAAAGTGCTCCATCCTCTGGAGCACAACACTTCTCTCATGCAGTTCTCTCAGCTTGTGATTCACAGAAGCAGCCGTCTCTGTGTGGTGTAAATGGGTTCCTTGTGTGGCAACAGTGTGGGCTGGGCTGGTGGTCATTGCATGTCTGCCACACAATCCCACCAGAATTCCCACTTGACCCATCCATCATGGATTTCCAGGATGAACTCCAAAGGATTCATTCCTGATTGTGCTGTTGTGACTATAAATTGGAGATTAAAAACCAACTGGGGAATCTTGGAGATCAACTTTGGGAGTTGCCCAAGCAGGAAATTTCTTCCCATGCAGTGGAACGGCCTGTGCTGAGGGCACAGACCCAGGGCACAGACCCCAGGGCAGGCTGTTAGTAGGGGGAGAGGGGGCAGCCACAGGGAAATGTGAAGGATTCCATCACACAGTGCTCATGGCTGGGCCTGGGGCCTGGCTTAACTGCTGCCCATGTACACTGTCAGACTAGCCTGGCCAGATGTCTCACTTCCAGGACATCCCCAGGGCAAACTCTGAAAGCCTGGGAAGGCCCCTCCCTCACTTATATAATGTCACCAGAAGCCTTTGGTGAAACTGTGGTTGGAGGCTGATTTTTTTTTTTTTTTTGGTAGAAGGAATTCTAGACTCAGGAGCTAAAGAGTCTAGGTTCAACTCTGTCCACTGCCACTTACTACATGGCCTTGGGCAGGTCACTTTGATTTCTCCAGGACCACAGAGGGTTTTCTAAGCTTGCTCACCTGCTGATTGTGAGGCCATGTGCAGGTATACAGGGTGTTGTGACAGTCAGTTGAATAGTGACAGCCCAAATGGAAATATTTACTAGACAACAGAAGTATGTGGTCCTCTGCTCTGGGCAGGCAAGACACACATTGATACACGTTATCCTGGGTCAGCCTCTTCGGAGGTACTGATCTTATCTGGTCCATTCCCGGCAGTGCAGGCCAGAGTGAGCTCATTTTATGGTCAGCCAGCAGAGTTGTGTGAGACTTCGGCTGTCTCCAGGATGTATCCACTTCAGGCTCTCCTCATCCCTCACCTTGTTGGTACCTGCCTCTTACCTGGACTTTCCACTGCAATTCATTTCTGGTTTTGGTTTCCACCCACTCCTGTTTTTGAAACCTTCCAGTGGATCCCTGTTCCCTCGGCATAAAACCCTTAGCTTGATCTTCAGGTACCCTGCCTGTCGTCTGGCCACCCTGACTCCTGCCATGTCGTGTCATTCCTCGGGGGCTTGCTCGTGTAGCTCCCTCGCTGAAGAGTTAACTTTTCCCTTGTTCACTTGTGGACTCTGTTTTGGAAAGTCTTCCATGACACCTGCACACCTCCTCCCCCACTGCAGCGGAAGTCACTTTTCCCATAGCCAAGATGGTCCAGACCTCTAACCGCATGGTAGTCACAGTTGGAGTACAAGTACACCCTGTTACTAGTTAGAGGTGGTGTAGAATGGAAACACGGACTCCAGGTTTGAGTCCCAACTCTGCACTGTAACCTTGAGCTGGTCACTCAGCCTCTGTGAAATGGGGTCAATCAATGTACCTACTACTTTATGGGGCAGTTGGGAAGTTTAAGGCACTTAGAGCAGTGCCTTACACATGAAGTGCATGTGAGCAACTCCACAGTTTCCTCTTTGGAGCCTGGTTCCTGGCAGATGTCCGGGACGTGTTCAGATGTGAAGGTGTGTGATGAGGCAGTACTGCGTACATAACAACCAGGTTGCTCCTTGCAGAGGAATGAAGGTGATAGAAAACCGGGCCATGAAAGATGAGGAGAAGATGGAGATCCAGGAGTTGCAGCTCAAAGAGGCCAAGCACATTGCAGAGGAGGCCGACCGCAAATACGAGGAGGTGAGTGGGGCTGGCAGATGGCGGCGGCAGCAGGAAGTGGGGAGGAAATGGATGTGTGATAGGGAGACCCTGGGGCCGCCCAAAGGAAGCTCTCGGATAGGTCAGCTGTCCATCTGCATCCACATCTGTTTTTCCAGAGATGCCACTTGGCTGGGAACTTTATCTTCCACAATGCCGAAAGGTCCCGGGGAATTCTGTGACGCTTGTCTGACTTGGTGGGGAAACCAACTCACCAGATCACTTTTTGTCCTGCGGCTGGGGGGGTTCAGCACAGTTAGGCTAAAATTGGGAATCGTGGTCCCCGGCTGCGGGTCTTGACAAAAAACGCCCAGTCCCTCTCCTGCCTGCCTCCATAGTCTCAGCTCTTCTTTCTTCTCCTGTCTGCCTCACTTCTGGGGCTTGAGAGAGGATTTAGGTGTTGTCCAGGACTGAGTTGAAGCAGCCGCAGAAAGCCCCATGCTGGTAGACAGTCTGGGCACAGCTTTGCTGTTTGCACGGGGAGGGCATCCTACTAGATGTGGCTGTTGGGGGCTAGTCTCTGACGAGCCTTTCTGTCTGTGCAGGTAGCTCGTAAGCTGGTCATCCTGGAGGGCGAGCTGGAGAGGGCGGAGGAGCGTGCCGAGGTGTCTGAACTGTGAGTGGCAGAGCAAGACTGAGCGGCCCAGCTCAGCTCTTGGGGTGGGGTGGGAGGGAATTGGTTGACACCGACCAGGGCCTCTGGTCAAGTGTGGATGAGCATCTGGGACTTATTGCTCGGTCCCGCCTCTTGGCCTCTGTGGCTGACAAAGAGAGATGGTGACTGTTTGTCCTTGCTGTGCACGCGTTGACTCTTTCCACAAAGGTACTGAGAAGTAGGAGTGAGACAGCTGGTAGCAGAGAGGCCCAGAAGTCTCATTCTCCCAGGGAGGGTATCTCAGGAAGCTGTGCCTTCTTAACAGAAAGCTGGCCTATGGGAGGCA